AGATTGCTCAACTATCACGGACACACGACCATGCTATGACTTGATCACCAACTTTCCACCCTTACCTGCTTCTTTGGCAGCCCGCATCAGCCGTTTGTACGCTGTAGGGGCGTTCATCATGAAGTAGTAAAGAACATCAGCAGTTGTCGCCTCGGTCTTCCCCCCCATCAATGCCGACAACCCGCATCGTTGAAGGCATATGACTGGCCTCATATGCTTGGATATGCCGTGAACCGCCTTGTCATGCTCGTCGCTAAGATTCGCTACAGTGGACCCTCCACTTGCTCTTGCATCCGTCTGCCTCCCACGCCTGAAGGTTGGGTTTGGAAATGGTGTATGGATTTGCACGGTTTGGAATCGATGGCTGGATATGCGTTACAAGGGAGACCCCAACAGCCAAATACAATGACGGACAACTTGTATGTCCTGCGCGACAATGCTGGGCGTGCGCGCAGATTCAGTAGCATTTGAATGAGGAAAGATGGACGAGATTGACGGTGGACACCAAAACAGATGATGAGCCCCGACGGGGAATAATAAGTGGGGGAAACGAGCCCACTGTGTTGCCTCTCCCACCTTCCCCTCTGCAGGTTCACATCCCCTCATTTTCGTACAACCCATCCTGCAGCACCTTCCCCCCGCATCACCCGTGTGAGGTGATGCGAGCGCATTTCAACCGCCATAATCATGGTGCTGGTGAGTGGGTGGTATACATGGTGCTGGTGAGTGGGTGGTGTTGATGGTGCTGGTGAGTGGGTGGTGTTGATGGTGTGGTGAATGGGTGGTGTTGATGGTGCTGGTGAGAATGAGGCGCAGATGGGAGGGCGAACCTAGGATGAAATGGGTCGCTGCAAGATAGGAGGGCATGCACAGTCGGAAAGGTGGTGTGGCCCTAGTGGTGTGGGAAAATCGGACCAGGGGAAGTGGGGCATTGGATGGGGGGAAGTGGGGGATTGGATGGGGGGACGTGGGGGATTGGACGGGGGGGAGTGGGGCATTGGATGGGGGGAAGTGGGGGATTGGATCAGGGGAAGTGGGGGATTGGATGGGGGGAAGTGGGGGATTGGATCGGGGGAAGTGGGGGATTGGATCGGGGGAAGTGGGGGATTGGATCGGGGGAAGTGGGGGATTGGATCGGGGGAAGTGGGGGATTGGATCGGGGGAAGTGGGGGATTGGATCGGGGGTAGTGGGGGATTGGACGGGCAGGTGTGGTGGAAAGGAAAGGGTAGTGCGGGGAAGGACGAGGTGGAGGGGGGGAAAGGGAGGGTAGGACTGGGGGACAGGGAGGGTGTTTGTAGGGGAAATAGAGATCGCAGGGTGTAGAAGGGGGTGAGCAAGTGTGGAAAAGAGTGAGCCGTGTGTTGAAGGGGGTGAGGAAAGGGGGAAAGAGAATGACCAGGGTGGTGAAGGGGGTGAGGAAAGGGGGAAAGAGAATGACCAGGGTGGTGAAGGGGGTGAGGAAAGGGGGAAAGAGAATGACCAGGGTGGTGAAGGGGGTGAGGAAAGGGGGAAAGAGAATGACCAGAGAGGTGAAGGGGGTGAGGAAAGGGGGAAAGAGAATGACCAGGGTGGTGAAGGGGGTGAGGAATGGGGGAAAGAGAATGACCAGGGTGGTGAAGGGGGTGAGGAAAGGGGGAAAGAGAATGACCAGGGTGGTGAAGGGGGTGAGGAAAGGGGGAAAGAGAATGACCAGGGTGGTGAAGGGGGTGAGGAAAGGGGGAAAGAGAATGACCAGGGTGGTGAAGGGGGTGAGGAATGGGGGAAAGAGAATGACCAGGGTGGTGAAGGGGGTGAGGAAAGGGGGAAAGAGAATGACCAGGGTGGTGAAGGGGGTGAGGAAAGGGGGAAAGAGAATGACCAGGGTGGTGAAGGGGGTGAGGAAAGGGGGAAAGAGAATGACCAGGGTGGTGAAGGGGGTGAGGAATGGGGGAAAGAGAGTGCGCAGGGTGTAGAAAGGGGTGAGCAGGGTGTAGAAAGGGGAGAAGAGAATGACCAGGGTGGTGAAGGGGGTGAGGAAAGGGGGAAAGAGAATGACCAGGGGGAAGTGGAGGCGACGGGAGGGGGAAGTGGAGGCGACGTGAGGGGGAAGTGGAGGCGACGGGAGGGGGAAGTGATGGCGACAGTAGGGGGAAGTGGAGGCGACGTGAGGGGGAAGTGATGGCGACAGTAGGGGGAAGTGATGGCGAAGGTGGGTGCATGGGAGATGGTCAAGAGGCGTCGATATTTATTGGGCGAAAGTGAGGTTTCCCACGTAGTGCCATATGACGTTATCCGCGCTGGCATTCAGTGTTTGATATTTCGCCGCATTCCGATGCTTTCAGTTTCGCGCCGACGTTCGTGCCGTGTCCAGGGTTTTTTCGTACCTTCGAGAAGCATCCTTTCCAGGGCGACGGGCCATATTCCCTATCTCGCCGTCTCGAATGAAGTGGTTCTGTTTGTTGATGACGGTCGTGTGACGTTTTTTATCTCAACTGCAACCTTTATGGTTGTCGTAATGCTAAGGGTTTGGTAGTTTTATCATCCGCGACGCAAGTGTGCTTGCTCGTGCCGCCTACTATAGTTGGCTGCTGTATGCAGTATCAAGCACTAGCGGGCCTCATGGTTGGTTGTCGAAAGCCTAGGTCATGGTGTTGTGTGTGTGGCAGCGCAAGAGCTGCGAAAGTGTTGTGTTGTGTGATTTTTGGTCGCGGTGTGTGGTGCGCCGTGCGACAATTTCTATTGGCTGGTTTTCTGTTGTTAGACTCGGCTGTTCGCTAAAAAATTCGCGATTTCGCTTACTGGGTGTGCCTTCTTTCGGCTCCCAACTTTCCCTTTCACACCCCTCGCCACCCGTTTTTCCCCTGGGCCAAGTTTTAAAAACTTGTGCAATTTGGGCCAACGGCTTTAAGGCAAGGAATTGGGAAATTCCTAACATCAGGGACTCCAGAGCGGTTTGTTCTCTTACAGCCCGCGTCCCAAATTGCGGGCCGCGAGGGTCAAGTTTTTAAAACTTGACGAAGTTGAGTGTCCAAGTTTTTGAAAGTCACGCACTTGCAATTTGGGACTTCCGAAGACAGATTCACTCACCAGGGGGAAAACCGAGGGTTGGCTGGGTCTCGCGAAAAGAACGAACCTAGACGAAATCGGAAACTCTCGCCAAAGCCCACAACAGAAAAACTCCCTCTGGTCAACTTTTAAAAGCATGAACAATTTGGGCCGCCGGCTTTACTGCTACTCAACAGTCCGAACATTGAACTGTCCTAAGCATGATCTGCTGACGTTGGCAAATCACAGGTCCATACACCACACACAAACTTGCTGGGATGTTTTGTTTTTCTCACCTGCCCGGTATGGTCATGTGCACGAGGCGTGATGCGGTGCCCACGACCTCGTGGTTGTGGTTGGTTGGCGGTGTGTTCAATATTTTCTACGTCACTGTCGGCGTTGAATTCCGTTGCTTCCTTTACAAACCTTCTCACCGACACACGCGATGAACACGCGAGAAGCACTTGCTACCTCAACATACGTGACTCAAATGGACAGTTTCTCATTCTGGCTCTCCACGTTGGCAACCAGGTGGACCATGAAATACACTTGCACTGTAATGCAGAACTTGCCCATCGAAACCGCGCTGGACATCCATTTCCCGCCCCATCGTAGCGCAGGCTTTTTGCTCCTGCCCGAGAACCACACACCGCGCGGCGTTGGTGGTCCCTGAAGTTCGGCACGCAAGATTCACCGCTTATCACAACTACTGTACCCTTGGTTTGAAGACCCGTGGCTTGGGATCCCTGAATATTTGCCGTTCCAAACCAGCCCAATAGGTTTGGTTGCCCTCTCATCTCGAAAAGCAAGAATTACTCAACTAAACGCTTCGCAAAAGCAAAGGCGAACAACCCTATCGCTCTGCTCTGGTTTCCAATTCCCTCATTTTAGATACAACCAGTACCAACACCTCCTGAACCCGGACTCCCGATTCAACCTACTAAAAGAAAGCGGGTACTCCCCTACACCACCACCGCCAGCGCAACTCAAGAAATCTCCCCGCTGCTTCTTCCCTAAAACCATGCGCTTCCCGAACCCTCTCCCCCGTCGACGCTGCTTTCGCCAGCCACAGCGCGCTTCCTTTCCCTTCAAACAAGCGGAAACATGGATTCCGACCAATCGCGCACACCCAGTCTTCGCGTACAAGACTTCAACATGCGCCTTTGCCTCGTTTCGTCCGCCACGCCCCCCATCCTCTCCCCGCTAACGCGCCCCCGCTGGTGCTGCCATGCGTAACCGCGCTGCCGCTGTCAGAACTGTACTGTACTGTAATGCTGCTGCTGTCACTGCTGCTGCCTGCTCGGATAAAAACGTTCCCCTTTCAGCATCATCAATCTGATTCCATCTTCCACTCCGTCTTTACTGACGCCTCTTTTCACGTTCACCATCCACCCTCTCCCCAGCCAAATCTGCTCTGCGCGGCTTTCACAGTCCCGTAAGGTACTCGCCAGCAGTGCCGCGTCTCATCACTCACCTTTCCGCTTACTCCGTGTTTCGTCTCCAGCTCCTTGCTTCCCTCGCACGCGCCGAACGCTTGAAAGTTCAAGTCACGCCATCTTCCCCCCCGCCAACGCCCGGAAGGCCAGCATAATAATTTACTCAACCGTCATTGGCCGCATTCCACGCCGCGATTCTTCCACGTTGCTGCCTTTCAATTCCCGAAGAAACCAGAAGTTATAAGCTACCAAACCGACAATAAGGTGAGCTCCTAGTAAATCGAGTTTATTCGGCGTATGCTCTACAATAGTTCGAGCAGGAAGCTCTTGCGCTTTCATAAAATCAATCCGAACCGCATTGCCGTTTCTCACTCTTGAATTTTACCCCTTCCGCGCGCCGCATTCTCGCCATCAAGGCTGTCATCTGCCTCGCACTCGCAAAAACTTTATGCGTTTTGCGAAAACAGCTTTCCGTTCTGCGCTTTCGCCTTCCTCGTTTGCAAAACGTCACATTCGCAACAGAACCGCCGGCTTGGGAGATGTCAATCGCGAAGATGTTTTCTCTGCGGCGAAGCGATCGACTGGACCCTCGCAGCGCGACGGCATTCGCCCGCGTCCTCTTTATAAGCCTGCTTGCTCTTACTCTATCGGGGGCGGCGGCGGCGGGCGCAGCAGCAGCCGGTTGCGAGGCGTCGACCCTGTCGGGTTACCAGCATATGCGAGACCTCACGGGGCAAGGGTAAGTTGCCGCACCCGGCATAACATAGTGCACACATCTACTTCAATATACGCATCGTAATGAGGCTCCGACAGACTCCGTATCGGCGTGAATTGGAACGGCCACTTATCGTTCCCTGCTCTCGGTATAAAGCCACTCCAATATCGATACATGAAGATAAATCTTAATATGCATGGTATTGTAATGTGTGTGTTTTACCTTTTGCAGAGTAAGAAGAAGAAAATAAAAACATTTACTCCCGTTCCCCCTTCCCTCCGAATCGCGACATCCAGGTTCATTCTCCACTGGTCGCTCGCGACTCCCAGCCGACTCGACATCGCGGTCGAGGCGAAGCCGGGGAGCGGCGCGGAGAACGGATGGATCTCCGTGGGGTGGTCCGCGAACGGGAAAATGGCTCCCGCGGACGCCGTCATTGGTAACCTGCCGGGCGTCGCGGTCGGCGCGTACGACATCAGCGGATACGACGGAACGACCGTTGTCGCTTCGACGACCTTCAAGATCTCCGGAGGGCTGCTGAGCAGCGCCAACGGACGCAGCACGATCATCAAGTGAGTTATTAAAAGTTTTTAGTCGGTTCAAAAGCCACTGGATACGGCGGGACAACCATTGTGTCTTCGACGAGCTTTAAGATCTCCGGGGGACTGCTGAGCAGCGCGAATGGCCGCAGCACGATTTTCAAGTGCGTGGTTTAATCCCGGTTTTCCTAAAGACCGAATGGCCGTGCTCGACTGAAAGCTCCTGTACCTATTTCGTCTATTGTCTCGCTGCCGCCTCTTCCCCTTCGCTTCCTGGCCTTGTCCGCATGTTTCCCGCCTCTTTCCCGCCTCTCTTCCGCCCCTAACGTGTTTCCCACCCCAGATCTAGGGTGAGTCGACTTCTACCACTCTCAACCATCTTCAGCCGCTGTGGCGCTGTCCCCTATCCGATGAGCTCTTGCTCTCGCTTCAACCGTGGAGGCAACTCCAGCTCCTGCTCTCTCTCCTCCCATGTTTCTCTTTCCCAGGTTCTCTCGATCCCAGGGCAGCGGCGGCTGCTCCCCGCTCGTCCTCCCGGGTACCGCCACCAACATGATCATCTGGGGATACCCCGGTGCTGGCAGCAAGGCTCTAAGCTGATGTTGTTCTTCCCTCCTGTTTTTCTCTATCTCCCACCCCCAGGTTCTCGCGCTCCCAGGGCGACGGAGGGAGCGCCCCGCTCGTCCTCACAGGTCCAGCCACCAACACCATCATCTGGGGCTACTCCGCTGCTGCCAGCAAGGCTCTGGACTACCATGGCACCTTCCAAGGCTCGGCTAAGATCAGCTTCAACTGCGGCGGCGGCAACTCCACCGCCACCACCCCTGTCCCTACTCCGGCAACACCCACTCCTGCTCCTGGTAGCACTGGTGCTGGTGGCGCTGGTGGCAGCACCAGCGGCGGCACTAGCAGCGGCAGCGGCAGTGGTAGTAGCAGCAGTGGCGCGGCTAATTTGCCGGCGTGTGATGCGTCCACGCTGGCAGGATACGAGCATTCCAAGGACCTCACGGGGAAAGGGTGAGTTGAATGCTGTTCAATGTTTTCAATGCTGGTCAGTGCTGTGATGCATCCACGTTGACAGGATACGAGCATTCCAAGGACCTCACGGGGAAAGGGTGAGTCAACGCCGGTCAACGTGGTCAATGCTGGTCAACAGCCACTTATCATTATATGATTCTTTACATCAACTCATTATTTATTTACTTCATTTACTTTTTATTCCCCTCTCCTCAGGTTCCTCCTCCACTGGACGCTCACCCCTGCCGGCCAGCTGGACATGGCACTAGAAGCCAAACCGGCCAGTGGCGCCAACAAGGGGTGGATTTCGCTGGGTTGGTCGGCGGCCGGCAAGATGTACCCTGCAGATACGGTCATTGGGAATCTCCCGGATGGGTCCGTGGGCGCTTATGACATGAGCGGTTACGACGCGTCTGCTGTGCTTCCTTCGACCAAATTCAAGATCAGCAAGGCATCGACGGTTGCTGCCAACGGCGGCAGCACCATAATCAAGTGAGTCCGGTTACCCAGTCAGTTATCACAGGTAGTTTGAGGTGTTACAGATACAGTCATCGGGAATCTCCCGGATGAGTCCGTGGGCGTGTATGACATGAGAAGTTACGATGCGTCTGCTGTGCTTCCGTCAACCAACTTCAAGATCAGCGAGGCGTCTATGCTTCTATGCTTCAACTTCTATGCTCACAGCCAATGGCGGCAGCACCGTTATCAAGTGAGTTCCATTTGATGTTTATGCGGGCTTGTGTGTCGGTTGCACAAGGGCCGTTGTTCTGTTCTGTGTGTGTTTGTTCTTGTTTTACTGTCAGGCGCAGCCACCAACACCATCACCTGGGGCTACTCGGCCACCAGCCAGCAGCATGGCTCTGACCTCATCCTGCTCTCGCGCCCTCTCCCTCTCTCCCTCACTCTCCTCCTCTGTTCCCAACGCAGGTTCTCGCGCTCCAAGGGCGACGGAGGCATCTCCCCGCTCGTCCTCACAGGTCCAGCCACCAACACCATCATCTGGAGCTACTCCGCTGATGACAGCAAGGCTCTGGACTACCACGGCACCTTCCGTGGCTCCGCTAAGATCAGCTTCAACTGCAACAGCAACGCCGGTGCTGGTGCCGGCGCTGGTGCGGGTGCGGGTGCGGGTGCGGGTGCGGGTGCTGGTAATAACGGCACAAGCACAGGCGGTAGCAGCAGCAGCAGCAGCAGTGGTAGCACTAGCAGTGGGAGCGGGAGCAGCAGTGCAGCTAGTGCGAGCTCTAGCAGCAGCGGGAAGGGGAGTGGTTGCACGCCGTCCACCATCCCTGGCCTTGAGTGTTCCACCAAGCTCAGTGGCGACAGGTGAGCATCATTCCCTCTCTCCCCCTGTATTCGCTACACAATGACCCACGCTGTTCCCTTAACCACCGGTACGCCGTCGACCATCCCTGGCCTTGAGTGTTCCACCAAGCTCAGTGGCGACAGGTGGGCATCATTCCCTTGCCCACGATTATCCCTACACCATTTTCCAAACCGTATTCTTTACCACTGGGTGGGCGTACGAGATGTGCAATGGTGACAACCACTGTGTGGGTGTCTCTCTCACTCACTCTCTCACTCACTCACTCACTCACTCTCTCCCTCTCTCCCTCTCTCCTTCCCTCCATTCTCTCCGCTCTCCCACCAGTTTCATTCTCCACTGGAAGGCCAACGCCTCGACCATCAGCTTCGCCTGCGAGGTGGCAACCACCGGGTGGGTCTCCCTGGGGTGGAGCGCAGACGGCAAGATGTACCCCGCTGACGCTGTCGTCGGCACCGGCAGCGGTAACGGCGCTTCAGTTGCGCCTCATTCCATTTCCAGCTACACCAGTGTGACGCCGAGCTCAGCCTTTGCAATCTCAGCTACGGCGGTTGAGTCGGGGGCCAAAGGGAAGACGGTGGTAAAGTTTACCCGACAGCTGTCGGTTGGGTCGTTCCCTATCAATGCGAACGGCGTGACTAAGGTCATCTGGGCTTACTCGGCTGATGGCTCCCAGTCTCTCGCCAACCACATGACCAACAGGTGAGCTGCTTCACCCACCCTTTCCCCCCTCCCTCTTCCTCCTCTTCCCCTCCTCCCCTCTCCTCTCCCCCCCCCCCCTTTTCCCCCACCCCTCCTTTTTGGTTTCTCTCATAAAAGGTTCTGTGGATGCTCCTCAACTCTCTCCTTCTCATGCTGCTCGTTGCTCACTATCCCTCTTCCTTCCCTCCCCCGTTCCCGCGCTCCCTCCATTTCGATTACAATTGTTTCTGTAGAGGCTCTGCGTCCATCGATTTCATCTCTGGAAGCACAACGGTTTCGTCCACTGCACCGCCCTCAACCACTCTCTTAGTCGTCCACGCATGGCTGCTCGGCATTGCGTTCGGCATCCTCATGCCAGCTGCTATTCTCATCTCGCGAATCTTCCTCGCCGATAAGCTCCAGGAGCGTCCGCCTGGTGTGGACCACGACAAGTGGGAGGCGCAGGTTGCGCGCGCGAAATCCTGGAAGCCGCTTGCGTTTGAGACGCACAAGTGGATGCAGATCACCGCGGTTGCGATCGCTATCGCGGGGTGTATTATCGTGTTTGTGCAATCCGGCTCGGTGGGGCTGCAGAGCTCCCACGGACAGCTGGGTCTCGCGATCTTTGTGCTGATTTTCGTGCAGCCTATGATTGGTCACTTCCGGCCGAACAAGGGTACAGTGAATCGGCCGACGTGGTTCGTCATCCACTGGGTGCTCGGCATTGGTATTGTCGGACTCGCGTGGCTCAACACTTTCCTCGGATTCGACATCATGCAGACAAAATACTCGTTCAACCTCCAGGTGCGTTTTTGCATACAGTAACCCCAACATCCTCTGTTCTTGCTTCTCTCGTGAACTGCATGCTATGCTTGAAGAAGATGTCGCTTGTATTCTTGTGGTTGATATGCCTCCCTCTTCCTCCTCACCAGTCTCCTCTTCGTCCTCACCAGTCTGTGTTCCTTGCAGAGACAAATGCTTTACATTCCCCTCCTCGTGTTCATGTCCTTTCGTTCATCACACGCTCATGTGCCTTCCGTTCCCCTCCTCACAATCTCATATTTTCTTTACCTGTGCACTTCTTCCCCTTCCGTTCCAACAAACAGTGGTGCTATATCATCTTTGGGGTCACAGTTGGCCTTCTGGGAGCCATCTACCTTGTCATTTACATCACGGATCAGGTTGTCGCACTCATTTCGATGATCCAAAAGGCAACAACCTCAAACGAGGAGAGGGATGCAGGGAAGCAACTGGTGATAAATCATGTACCAGTATAGATGTGCAACTTGCATTGTCTGGTTTGTTTTCTTTAGCATGGTTTTCTAGGTTGTATATAACAGCCGTCCAAGCATTACGGATGCAGAAATGTGTATTGTCAGGTTTGCTTTGCTAGTAGGGTTTGCTTGGCTTGGCTAAGTAACAATACGTATGCATTGCTTTCATTTTGGATTGTGCATCAAGCTAATGTCCAGTCTTTGTGTTGATACAGAATATAAAAGAGTGTATCAAGTGAGAATGACTATTTCAATACAGAAGGACAACAATAATTAGAAACGTCCTTAATTCCTCACCTCAGGCATTTGATTCCCCTCGATTCCATGACCAACCGTTCACAACCTTCACCTAAATGTTTTGGATTGCAACGCACCTTCATCAAGCGAAGTGGTGAAGGTTCACAACCTTCACTGTGTCAGTGTCTGATATGCAGAGCAACGGATATCCATTGCAGCACGGCAACGTATAACGGTTGTCACTGATGTGGTGAAGTTCCGAAAATCAGCGTGTCTTGAATCCACCACGGCCTTTCGCGGGCCTCCGCGCAGTTAGAAAAACACCACAACGCTTGGTCCTTTCTCTCGTTTCCAGGGTATTTTGGCGGCTTGGACGTATCTAAGTGGCATAGGCTCTGCTCCTTAGGTTCTTGCTATCATTGACGTCTAGATCCCTCGCCAGCTCGCTCGGTGAAACTCGTGGTTTGTTCGCCGTTAGCGAAGATGAATTCGTCACAGGCGGGTTACTTCGCGAAGCAGGGGCTGAGCATGCTGTACAATGCCACTGTAACGAGCGTGAGTGCGATTGCAACGGGGATAAACAAGGCGTACCAGACGTACACGGACTATTACGAGCGTGACCAGATCGAAGCTCTGAAGAAATCTGGCAAGCGACCAGCCGACAACCTCTATCTAGGTGATACCGTTGCACGCGACATGAGGGCGTGGTTAGTACAGGATCTTTCTGCTTGTGATATCTCAATAACGCATGCGCGTGTGTTGCTTGACAATATATGCAGCATGTTCATGGATTCATGCGAAACTTCATGATTGGTGAACGCATGATTCACGAGCCACGAGCCACAAATTAATTCAAGCATGCAAGCATGAACCGTTTGCAAAGATGAAATCATGGCTTCGTGAGTCCTTTGTTCCCTTATTCTCTTCTTTAATGTGGTCGCGAATCCCTGATGGTCATTGACATCAGGGTTCCATGGATTCACGATTTTCGTACCTGATTCAATCCTTCTTCTGCGTGGCTGATTACAACAAACCCGTATGACAGTGCTGCAGCGCTTCCAGTATCTCTGCATGGCTGCCTACAAGAACGAGGAGAGGAACCATTTCGTCTATGTCCTTGTCTCGTGCGTTGTAAACACACACCCATCTCCCCCCTTGTCCCTCACCACCCACATCAGTGCTGCAGCGCTTTCAGTACCTCTGCATGGCTGGCTACAACAACGAGGTTGCTGCTGCCGCCCAGAAGGCAGCTGCCAAGCTGGTGAGAGGGCAATGGGCCTGTCAGGTGTGCCAGGGGGTTGTCAGGTGTGCAATGGGTTTGTCAGGTGTGCCGGGAGGTTGTCCAATGTGCCTTGGGGTTTCCAGGTGTGCCTTGGGGTTGTCAGGTGTGCCTTTCTCACCTGGGTGCCGACATCAGTGTCACAGCGGTATGAGGAGCTTTTCTCTCAGAGCACTTTCTAACCCCACTCTTACTCCAACCAACCCTCTCGTGTCTCTTTCCATTATCTTTTCTCCCAGACGGCAGGAGAGAAGAGCTCAGTGGCTCATGAGACGCTGCTGCTGCTCACCCGCGTGCTGACGTCAGTGTCGCAGCGGTATGGCGAGCAGTCAGGGTACCCTCTTTCCCGCTCCCAATCTCAACCCCTTGTCTCGCCTCTCCTTATCCCAACCTTCACTCCAGACGGCAGGAGAGAAGAGCTCAGTGGCTCATGAGACGCTGCTGCTTCTCTGCCGCGTGCTGTCGTCAGTGTCGCAGCGGTACGGCGAGCAGTCGGGGCAGGGGTGGGGGCTGCAGGACTTTCTGAACTCGTCTCGCATGGGCAAGGACCACTTTGACCGCGACCAGCTCGTCATTGACTTCTACTTCGCCATCCTCTTCGTCCAGGACGTGAGTGGGTGGCAGGCAGGGCATGATGTGAGTGGGTAGCAGTGAGGCCATGATGTGAGTGGGTAGCAGTGAGGCCATGATGTGAGTGGGTAGCTAGCAGGGAAGGAGGGAGAGAGGGGATGACGACCAGCTCGTCATTGACTTGTACTTCGCCATCCTCTTCGTTCAGGACGTGAGTGCTCTGCCGTCCCCCCTTTCCCCCTCTCTCTAGTCTCTGCTCCCTGCTACCCACTCACCTTCGCATGCCACTCAGATGACGCTTGGCTCAGGTGGCTTACTAGGGAGGGATTGAGGGAATGTTTGAGTGAGTTAGTGAGTGAGTGAGGGCGCGAGTGAGTGAATGAGTGAGAAGTGAGTGAGGGAGTGAGAGGGGTGTTAGTGACCTGAGTGCCCTGCTCTGCTTTTCTCACATGAATGAGTCAACCGTAAGGTTGGTTGAAGCAGAAGTTCCTCGGTACGCTACTCTGCCTCTCTCACCATTGGCAACAGGGTTGCCTTCGCCCAACCCTCTTTCCCTCCACCCCTCTTCCGCCTTTTCGCCTGTTTCCCCAACTCAAAAAGAGTCGACTCAAAAATCGACTCACTACACATGTATCAGGTGTGTGGGGGACCCGGGCTGCAGTTTAAGCAAGCCATTCGCGAGGCGACAGGGAGGCTGGTGGAGGGGGACAAATACATGGGCGAGGGAGAGTGATTCTCTTGAATTTACTTAAGTACCAGCGCCTCCTCCCAACCCCACCCCACTTTCCGTACCCAAACCCCCTTTTGGTTTATCAGGTGTGTGGGGGACCCGAGCCGCAGTTTGAGCAAGCCATTCGCGAGGTGACAGGGAGGCTGGTGGAGGGGGACAAATACGTGGGCGAGGGAGAATGATTCTCTTGAATTTACTAAAGCACCAGCGCCCCCTCCCAACCCCACCCCACTTTCCGTACCCAAACCCCCTTTTGGTTTATCAGGTGTGTGGGGGACCCGGGCCACAGTTTGAGCAGGCCATTCGTGAGGCAACAGGGAGGCTGGTGGAGGGGGATAAATACGTGGGTGAGGGAGGGGGGTTCTCTGGTGGCGGTGCAGCGTTCGGTGGTGCTTCCTCCTCCGTCCCCTCCTATGCTGCTGTGCCATCCGCCAGCGCTCTACCCTCTGATCAAGACCCCAAGTGAGTCCGTGGGTTCACATGCTGTAAAGGAGTGACATGACAAGTACGTGGGCGAAAGAGGGGGGTTCTCTGGTGGCGGTGCAGCGTTCAGTGGTGCTTCCTCCTCCGTCCCCTCCTATGCTGCTGTGCCATCCGCCAGCGCTCTACCCTCTGATCAAGACCCCAAGTGAGTCGCTACATTCCACTCCTTTTTATTTGTGAAAAACGAGAGGCAAGTATAAGGGCCAGGTATGAGGACGTGCTTTTGAGAATTCTCAAAAACACCCTGCAGTATGAGGGTGTGCTTTTGAGAATTCTCAATAACACCCTGAAGTATGAGGGCGTGCTTTTGAGAATTCTTAAAAACACCCTGCAGTATGAGGGCGTGCTTTTGAGAATTCTTAAAAACACCCTGCAGTATGAGGGCGTGCTTTTGTTAATTCTCAAAAACACCCTGCAGTATGAGGGGGTGCTCTTGAGAATTCTCAAAAACACCCTGCAGTATGAGGGCGTGCTTTTGTTAATTCTCAAAAACACCCTGCAGTATGAGGGCGTGCTTTTGAGAATTTTCAAAACACCCTGCAGTATGAGGGCGTGCTTTTGAGAATTCTCAAAAACACCCTGCAGTATGAGGGCGTGCTGACTCTTCTGGCGCTTTATTCGTTGCTGCCTTTAGGGCTGACTATTGCCTCCATCCATCCCGTCCTGTGCCTCTGTTCCGTCGGCCAGTGCTCTACCTACCTGCCGATCAAGGCCCTAAGTGAGCTGCTTCTCTTTGTGTCATATGATGTGAGAGAGAGGTAAAAGCTAGACAAGTATGTGAGAGAGAGGTAAAAAAAGGACAAGTATGTGAGAGAGAGGTAAAAGCTGGACAAGTATGTGAGAGAGAGGTAAAAGCTGGACAAGTATGTGAGCAAAGAAAGCGATGGTGGTGGTGCAGGTGTAATTTCAGGCCGTCCGCAGGCAGAAGAGGAGGCAGACGGACGCAAGCAACGAAGGTGGTGCAGGTGCCCAATCACCAGGGACAAGGTGATGAAGGTGGTGCAGGTGCCCAGTCGCCAGGAAGAAGGTGATGAAGGTGGTGCAGGTGCCCAGTCGCCAGGAAGAAGGTGATGAAGGTGGTGCAGGTGCTATCGCAGGCCGTCCGCAGGACGTGGGCGAGGGAGGGGGGTTCTTTGGTAGCGGTGCTGCCTTCGGCGGTGCCTCCTCCTCCGTCCCCTCCTATGCTGCTGTGCCATCCGCCAACGCTCTACCCTCTGATCAAGACCCCAAGTGAGTCGCTACATTCCACTCCTTTTTATGTGTGAAAAACGAGAGGCAAGTATAAGGGCCAGGTATGAGGACGTGCTTTTGAGAATTCTCAAAAACACCCTGCAGTATGAGGGTGTGCTTTTGAGAATTCTCAATAACACCCTGAAGTATGAGGGCGTGCTTTTGAGAATTCTTAAAAACACCCTGCAGTATGAGGGCGTGCTTTTGAGAATTCTTAAAAACACCCTGCAGTATGAGGGCGTGCTTTTGTTAATTCTCAAAAACCCCCTGCAGTATGAGGGGGTGCTCTTGAGAATTCTCAAAAACACCCTGCAGTATGAGGGCGTGCTTTTGTTAATTCTCAAAAACACCCTGCAGTATGAGGGCGTGCTTTTGAGAATTTTCAAAACACCCTGCAGTATGAGGGCGTGCTTTTGAGAATTCTCAAAAACACCCTGCAGTATGAGGGCGTGCTTTTGAGAATTCTCAAAAACACCCTGCAGTATGAGGGCGTGCATTTCAGAATTCTCAAAAACATCCTGTAGTATGAGGGCGTGCTTTTTGAGAATTTTCAAGAACACCCTGCAGTATGAGGGCGTGCTTTTGAGAATTCTAAAAAATACCCTGCAGTATGAGGGCGTGCTTTTGAGAATTCTCAAAAACACCCTGCAGTATGAGGGCGTGCTTTTGAGAATTCTCAAAAACACCCTGCAGTATGAGGGCGTGCTTTTGAGAATTTTCAAAAACACCCTGCAGTATGAGGGCGTGCTTTTGAGAATTCTCAAAAACACCCTGCAGTATGAGGGCGTGCTGACTCTTCTGGCGCTTTATTCGTTGCTGCCTTTAGGGCTGACTATTGCCTCCATCCATCCCGTCCTGTGCCTCTGTTCCGTCGGCCAGTGCTCTACCTACCTGCCGATCAAGGCCCTAAGTGAGCTGCTTCTCTTTGTGTCATATGATGTGAGAGAGAGGTAAAAGCTGGACAAGTATGTGAGAGAGAGGTAAAAAAAGGACAAGTATGTGAGAGAGAGGTAAAAGCTGGACAAGTATGTGAGAGAGAGGTAAAAGCTGGACAAGTATGTGAGAGAGAGGTAAAAGCTGGACAAGTATGTGAGAGAGAGGTAAAAGCTGGACAAGTATGTGAGAGAGAGGTAAAAGCTGGACAAGTATGTGAGAGAGAGGTAAAAGCTGGACAAGTATGTGAGAGAGAGGTAAAAGCTGGACAAGTATGTGAGCAAAGAAAGCGATGGTGGTGGTGCAGGTGTAATTTCAGGCCGTCCGCAGGCAGAAGAGGAGGCAGACGGACGCAAGCAACGAAGGTGGTGCAGGTGCCCAATTGCCAGGAAGAAGGTGATGAAGGTGGTGTAGGTGCTATCGCAGGCCGTCCGCAGGCAGAAGAGGAGGCAGATGGGCATAAGCAGCGCACATTCAAAGAAGCAGAGGACATGTTGCGACAGCCATCTCGTGCAATCACACATTTCCGCTTCCCCCCCCCCCCTTCCCCCCTTTTCCCCCCCCTTCCCCCTTTTTTCCCCCCTCTTCCCCCCTCTTTCCCCCACACGCCATTTCACCCAACAATCCCCTTCCTCCTGCTGCTCCCTCTTTCTCCTCTGTGTCTCCCCCACCATCAGGAAGAAAGCGATGAAGGTGGTGCAAGTGCTATCTCAGGGCGTGCGCAAGGCAGCAGAGGATGCAGACGGGCGCAAGCAGCGGTCGCTCAAAGAAGCAGAGGACATGCTCCGACCGCCGTCTCATGCAATCACTTATACCCCTTGGCTTTCCCCTTTTCTCCCTACCCCCTCCTCCTCCTTCTCTCTGTTTCTCTTCTCTTTCTCTCCCCTGTTCCCGGCCCCACTCCCAATCGCCAGGAAGAAGGCGATGAAGGTGGTGCAGGTGTTATCTCAAGCCGTGCGAAAAGGATGCGGACGGGCGCAAGCAGCGCTCGCTCAAAGAAGCAGAGGACATGCTTCGATTGCCATCTCATGCAAGCACACATCCCTGTACTTTCCCCCTTTCCCCCTTCTCCTTCTCCTCCCTCTCCTCCTTCTGCTCTATGTTTCTCCTGTGTTTCTCCCCTCCTCCCCACCCATAACCCCCCAGGAAGAAAGCGATGAAGGTGGTACAGGTGCTGTCACAAGCTGTGCGCAAGGCAGCAGGTGATGCAGACGGCCGCAAGCAGCGGTCGCTCAAAGAAGCAGAGGACATGCTTCGACTGCCATCTCATGCCATCACTTATACCCTTGGCTTTTCCCTTTCCCCACTACCCTCTCCTCCTCTCTGTTTCTCTTCTCTTTATCTCCCCCGTCTTCCCCCCCTTTCTCACTCCACTTGCCAGGAAGAAAGCGATGAAGGTGGCGCAGGTGTTGTCGCAAGCCGTGCGGAAGGCAGCAGAGGATGCGGACGGGCGCAAGCAGCGCTCCCTCAAGGAAGCAGAGGACATGCTTCGACTGCCATCTCATGCAGTCACACATACCCCTCTACTGTCCCCCTTCCCCCCTACCCTCTCTTTCTCCTGCTCAATGTTTCTCCTTCCTCTCTTCCCCCCGCCCTCCCCCCCTCTCCTCCCCCGCTCTACAATTGCCAGGAAGAAAGCGATGAAGGTGGTGCAGGTGCTATCCCAGGCCGTGCGAAAGGACTTTTGAGTCGACTCAAAAGTCAGCTTAGTGCAGGTGCTATCCCAGGCCGCGGGAAAGGACTTTTGAGTCGACTCAAAAGTCAGCTTGGTGCAGGTGCTATCCCAGGCCGTGCGAAAGGACTTTTGAGTCGACTCAAAAGTCAGCTTGGTGCAGGTGCTATCCCAGGCCGCGCGAAAGGACTTTTGAGTCGACTCAAAAGTCAGCTTGGTGCAGGTGCTATCCCAGGCTGTGCGAAAGGACTTTTGAGTCGACTCAAAAGTCAGCTTGGTGCAGGTGCTATCCCAGGCCGCGCGAAAGGACTTCTGAGTCGACTCAAAAGTCAGCTTGGTGCAGGTGCTATCCCAGGCCGTGCGAAGGACTTTTGAGTCGACCCAAAAGTCAGCTTGGTGCAGGTGCTATCCCAGGCCGCGCGAAAGGACTTTTGAGTCGACTCAAAAGTCAGCTTGGTGCAGGTGCTATCCCAGGCCGCGCGAAAGGACTTTTGAGTCGACTCAAAAGTCAGCTTGGTGCAGGTGCTATCCCAGGCCGTGCGAAAGGACTTTTGAGTCGACTCAAAAGTCAGCTTGGTGCAGGTGCTATCCCAGGCCGTGCGAAAGGCAGCAGAGGATGCAGACGGGCGCAAGCAGTGCTCCCTCAAAGATGCAGAGGACATGCTTCAACTGCCATCACATGCAAGCACACATACCCCTCGGCTTTCCCCTTGTCCACCTACCCCCTGCCCCTCCTCCTCTCTGTTTCTCTTCTTTTTATCTCCCCCTTCTCCCCCCCCTTCACACCCCACTTGCCTTGCCAGGAAGAAAGCGATGAAGGTGGTGCAGGTGTTATCTCAAGCCGTGCGAAAGGCAGCAGAGGATGCAGACGGGCGCAAGCAGCGCTCCCTCAAAGAAGCAGAGGACATGCTTCGACGCGAAAACGAAAAGGCAGCTGCGGCCGCCGGCGTGGCCTATGCCGGACCTCCCGCCAAGCCTCTCAGCAGCTTCGGCGGCGGAGCCTCGGCAGCAGCTCCGGTCGGAGGGTATGGTTCGGCGGGTGGTATGGCGGCGAAGCCGAGTAGCGTGTCGAATTGGAGTGGGGGGAGTGGGGCTGCTGCTGCTGCGCCCAGCCCTTGGGGTGGGGGAGGGGGGAGTGCGTTGGGGGGACCAGTAGGGGGAACGATGGGGGGAGGTGCAGGGGGGAGTGTGTGGGGAGGAGGGGGGAGTGCGAGTGTGGGAGGGGGAGGGGGTTTTGGAGGAGGTAGCGGTGGTGGTGGGGGGGGCTGGGGGGGGAGTGCGTCAACAGGAGGGGGAGGGGGAGCGTGGGGGGCAGGGGGAGGGCAGGCAGGGGGGAGTGCAGGGGGGTGGGGGGGAACGACAGGGGGAAGCACGACGGGAGGGAGTTCTGGGTGGGGTACCGGCACTGGTGGCAGCTTGATATAAGCGACTCAACAAAGGAGCAGCACAGTGTCATGCATGGTGTTGATATGAGCGGCAATAGTGCACAACAGCACACCTTGTGTCATTTTGGGTGACAACGTTGCATGACAGCTTAGTTCGCGCCAGTATGAGTGACAATGGAATTCCGCAGCACCTCGTGTCAATACGGGCGACATTTGAACTCAACATCACATCTGATCTGTTGGGCTGAGAATTTCAGCCTTAGGATCTTTGCAGAGAATAGGCTAGTAGGTGCTAGAGTAGCACAGCGGAAGACTTGAGTGAATGTACTTGTGCTGGTGTATGAGAACAAGTAATTGATTAAAGCAAAGAGCATACAAGAATATATAGGAAAGATGATTACAAGAGGCGGTTATGTTTATCGAGACGCGTAACCCTTCGACTATCGAGGCGGTTACTGTTCACTGAAGCGTCGCTTGCTGTTACGTAACCTCCAGGCGGTTACAGCTCGCAACCTCCAGTTGCGGTTTGATGTGGTACGCGCCTTTTCGACTTCATACCCCTTTTGTTGTGCTTCAGTATCGGGTGAGGTTCGATACTACAGAAAAGCACTAAGTCATGCGTTTATATTCCCAACATGATCTAGTGTTTGATATGAAGTGGTAATTACAGCAACTTACCCTTAGCATCCCTAACAGGCAGGAGGGGTGGTTGGTTGGGGCATAGGCAGCGGCGGGTGATGGCTGCTTTGATATGCTAATGTGAGTGATAATGAAAAACACAACAAATGGCAGTAAAATATAACAGCACAGTTCCTGCTATGGAATTTTTGAATTTTGATGGGTGTCTCCTGTTGCCCTTGAAGGAGATGTGCAATCGAGGAAATGTATAAAAACCGGGACCTTGGTATGCTTCATGTTTGCACAGTATTTACGGTATGACTGCGATTATCGAGCACAGCATGGTATGACCACCACAGTGTAAGGGGGATAGCCCTCCACTGGGGGCACACTGAACTGACACAAGAGGCAGCATCATTATTATGCATTACTGCAATATGTCTAGACATAACAACAAAGCAACCCCCTTTCTCCGATGCACCAACTAGTTTCTAGCCTATACACGTACCTCCAACAGGAGGAATTATCGATGGAGGGAATTTCTGTACCCGGCCTTAGTCACCTCTGTCTCCTCCCCTCACACACATGCCTAACTAATCTGTCTTGCTCGGCACTTGAAAATCAGGTATGTAACGTTGAGTTGCGTTGGTTGGCATGGTGGAAGGAAGAGTGAGTGGGAAGGCAGACAGATGCATACCCCTAGCTTCGACCTCTCACTCTTCCTTCTGCCGTGCCTCCTCGCTTCCCCTTCCGCCCACCCCACTCTCCATTTTCGCTCATCTCGATTGCATTGATTCAACTTCCCTTGCTTTACTCTCCATCTTCGCTCGCCCAGACTGCACTGATTCAACGCCCCCTTCTCTCCTCTCTCCATCCATCCCCGTCGCACTATCTCTGCTTCTTCTTCTTCCCTCCCCACTTCTGCTTCTTCTGCACCCCTCTCCACCTCTCTACTGCTGCACCTGCTGAGCTGCCCAATGCACTGCTTCCCCTCATGCGCTCCCTATCTCTCCCCTTCATTCTTCCCTCCACTCTCCCCTCCACTCTCCCCTTCACTCTCCCCTTCCGTCGTCCAGATTCTGCTGTTTCGTTCGTCCCTTCCTCCACCTCTGTTCCTGCTGCACCTGCTAAGTTGCTTATTCCATATTTCACTCGACTGATGCCATCCCCCTCACTCCTCCCTTCGCCTTCCCCTCATTCTCTCCCTTCTCCCCTTCAACACCCTCTCATGCTCTCCCCTTCACTCTCCCACATTCTGCTGCGACTTTTCTCTCTTCTTCCACCTTTGCTCCTGCCGCATCTGATGAGCTGCCCACCCTTCACTTTTCCCCATTGCACTGCTTTACATTCCTCTCATATCAAGCTCTCCCCTTCACTATCCCTTCACTCTCCCCTTCACTCGTCCACATTCTGCTGCTTCTTCTGCCTTTCCTTCCACCTCTGCTCCTGCTGCATCTGCTGAGCTCCCCACCCTTCACTCTTCCCCATTGCACTGCTTTTCTCTCTACTCTGATGCTCTCCCTTAACACTCCCCTTCATTCTCTTCACTCGTCTATTCTCTGCTGCTTCTTCTGTCTCTCCTTCCACCTCTGCTCCTGCCGCATCTGCTGGGCTGCCCCCTCTTCCACTCTTCCCCATTGCACTGCTTTTTACATTCCCCTCCTCCCATGCCCTCCCCTTCACTCGTCTACTCTCTATTGCTTCTTCTGCCTCTCCTTCCACCTCTGCTCCTGCCGCATCTGTTGAACCGGGGACAGGTGTGCGTTATAAGGGGGAGCATTCACTCCCGTTACAAGCACACCCTGGGGAAGCAACACACCTCCTCCCCCACTTACACTCACACCAGGGTGAATCAATATTCCTGTTCCCCCCATAACCCCTGTCCCCCCCCTTCCCATTACATCTGCCCCCATTACCCTTGCCGCTGTCCCTCCCATTCCTTCCGCCCCCATTGCCCTTGCCCCTGTACCTCCCATTCTTTCTGCCCCCATAACCCCTGCGCCTGCCCCACCCAATACTCCTCCTCCCATCAATCCCCCTCCCATCACTCCTCCTCCCATCACTCCCCCTCCCATCACTCCCCCTCCCATCACTCCCCCTCCCATCACCCCCCCTCTTATTACTCCCCCTCCTGCCCCTCCCATTCCGCCTACCCCCATAACCCCCATTCGTCCCGCTCCTCCCCCTCCTCCTGCTCCCATCACCCCTGCTCCCATCCCTGCCATTCCCTGTGTCCCCATAACCCCTCCCATACCACCCCCCAAACCACCCCCCGTTACCCCACCCATAGAACCACCCATCACACCACTAGCACCCATCACACCACCACCACCCATCACACCACCACCACCCATCACACCACCACCACCCATCACACCACTAGCACCCATCACACCACTAGCACCCATCACACCACCACCACCCATCAAACCACTAGCAGCCATCACACCACCACCACCCATCACACCAGAACCGCCCATCACACCAGCAGCAGCAACAGAAGCACCAGAGCCAGCAGTTGGAATGATATTTCTGCCTGTGGCGTTATAACCCATGGAGAGAGGAGTCGGGAGAGGAGGCAACCCTTTTGCGTAATGGGCAAGAGTAGCAGCAACAGCCGCAACAACCGCGGAAGCAGCAGCAGGAGCAGCAGCAGGAGAAGCAATAGGCGTAGCAGGATTAGCAGCAGAAGCAGCAGCAGCAGCAGCAGCAGCAGCAGAAGCAGCAGCAGCAGCAGAAGCAGCAGCAGCAGCAGCAGAATGAGGAGCAACTGGCAGATAGGTGTTGCGTGCTGCTGCTGCAAATGCAACAGCAGGGGAAACCGCAGGAGCCAAAACAGCAGGGAATGAGGCGTGATTGGTCGAGCTTCCAGCCAATAGCATCGTGCCACCTGTCCCTGTGCCGCCCAGGTAAAAGGGAGCGCCCCCGTTAATAACTCTCGAGTTTGCAGGTTGCTGCTGCTGATTTCGCTGCTGCTGCTGCTGTTGCTGCTGATTCTGCTGCTGAATTTGCTGTTGCTGCTGCTGCTGTTGGTCTGCCTGTGGTCGGTGCTGTGAAAACCTCTTTTGCCACTTCTCCCTCGAAACACCCCCCAAGCTCTCCCCCAAGTCCCCCTCTACACAATCCACAGAAACGTTCACCCCCCGGGCGGCGAGTTCTGTCCGTATCTGCCCCATGCGCAACTGTAGCTTCTGCAGCTGCGACTGTAGCTGTATACATTCTGTCTGATACTCCTGCAATTGCTGCAGCAGCTGGGAAGTCTGGATTTGATTCTGTATCCCATTCTCCTCATCTCCTTGACTCTGCACCTTCTTCCTTCGATTCCCGTTCGCAAGGGTTTTCTCCTGTGCAGACGCATGTGTTTTTATCTGCCCGTTTTTCTGCCCCTGTAATTGAGTGGTTGTAGCAGCAGCGGTCCCTCCCCACATCTCTTCTCCTGCACCTCCCCCCATCCCTTCCCCCATCGTTCCCCCCAATCTCTCCCCCATCGGTCCCCCCAATCTCTCCCCCATCACTCCCCCCAATCTCTCCCCCATCGGTCCCCCCATCCCTTCCCCCATAGTTCCCCCCAATGTCTCCCCCATCGGTCCTTCTCCCTGAAATTGGTTCAGTGGCACCTGAGAATTCGCCTCAATCTGTTGATTCACCTGGCTCTGTTGCCCCATCCGGTTCCCCACCTGAACCCCCACCTGCTGCTGCAACTCCCCTTCCCCCGCCATCTCCCCTCTGGTTACCCCCTCTCCTCCACCATCCCCTCCCCCATACCTCCCCTCCTCCTCCCCTTGCCCGTCCTCATCCCCCTCTTCCCCCTCTCCCCCCTCTTCCCCCCCTCCCCCCGCTTGCTCCCCCACCTCCCCTCCCCCTCCCCCATCATCTTCTGGCGAGTACAAAGTGTATAAAATCTTAACAGAGCAATTCGCCTCCCTTAAAACCTCTTCTAAGGAGAATCCAGCCATGAACAGTAGAGTAACGCCAAGTGACCTGAAAAATCTCCTGCCCACGTGGGTCAGCCCGGCAGCATCTGCCAGGTGGGCGGCGGAGCGAGCCAGGTTGGTGCGGCCCATGGGGTGGCGGGCGTAGCTGGTGCAGGTGGTATGTGGGGGCGTGTAGGGGGAAAAGGGGAGGGAAGAAAGTGGGGAAGGGGCATTTAGGAGCGAGCCAGGTTGGTTCGACCCATGGGGTGGCGGGCGTAGCTGGGGGGGGGGGGGGGGGGGGAGGAAGAGGAGGGGGGTAAGAGGAAGAGGAGGGGGGTAAGAGGAAGAGGAGGGAAGAGGGAAGAAGGGGGTATTCAGAATGACCAAATGAAAAAGGGGGTTTTTAGAATGACCAAATGGAGAAGGGGGTATTTAGAATGACCAAATGGTTCTTTCTGGTTGAGGCACCTCAATAAGGGGCATTTAGAATCGGGCTATTGATTGGTGCGCCTTGGCAGCATCTGCCAGGTGGGCGGCGGAGCGAGCCAGGTTGGTTCGGCCCATGGGGTGGCGGGCGTAGCTGGTGCAGGTGTTATGTGGGGGAGCTGGGAGGTTGGAGAGGGGGAGAAGGGGAGGGAAGAGCTGGGGAAAGGGGCATATAGGAGGGATTGGTCGTTAGGTCATGTCAGTTCGGACAGCTGACAGCATTGGCTAAAATCTAGATGAGGGATGGAGCGAGACACGCTAGTTTAGCCCATGGGGTGGCGGGCGCAGCTGGTGCAGGTGTTATGTGAGGGAGGGAGGAAACAGGGAGGGGGAGTGGTGGTGGTGGATGGGTGGGTGGGAAGAAGGCGGGGAAGGGAGGTGGAAAAGGGGAGATGGGGGGGAGAGGAAAAGTGGGGGGAAGGGGATTGGGCACATAGGTTGGGTGCATGAGCAACAGTGGAGTGGAGTGACGCCAAGGGACCTGAAAAATCTCCTGAAAAATCTCCTGCCCACATGAGTGAGCCCGGCTCACCTGTTCAGAGGCCCGAAAGAAGGCACGCGAGAAAACTTCGCCGACAGAAACAGGCTCGGCGCAGCTCCGGGCGGGCGCATCCGAGCCTCCTCGTCCAAAATCCGAACCGGGCACAGGATCGGGTTCTGCAGGTTCGGGAAGAACTGCTTCTGCACGAGGCTCGGCGCGAGGCTCGGCGGCGGCACAAACGCAACATGCTCGCCCGGAAACTGCGGCGACAGGTACTCCCCTCCCCGGTTCAAAACGACAAAATGGGAGAACTCAAGCTTGAGTAGGGAGTCCAAGCCGCCCCGGACGGCAAGAGTGGCGAAGACTATGAGCTTTCGCATGGTGTGGGCGATGGCGTTGGTTCGGGCGAGGGCTGGGCTTGCCATCATGTGACGAACGTCGGATAGACGGAGCGCGTGGGATGATGATGATGATCCGTGTTGTTTGCGCTTCCGCTTCCTGCTGCTGCTCGTTTCATGACTTGCTGCTGCTGCTGCTGCTGCTGAAATAACCTGCTCCCTGCTGCCACTAACAGTACCGGTCGCTACTGGTACTCGTGCTCGTGCTGCTCCTACTCCTGCTGCTGCTTCTTCCTCCTCTGCACGTCCCTCTTCCTCCTCCGCCTCTCGCTTCACATCCGTGCCTGTAGCCCCAACCTCTGCTGCTGAACTCATCTCGCCTTGCTCCCTGCTAGTATACACGGCCTCGCCTTGCTCTCTGCAGCCAAATTCAAGCCCGTCTTTCTCCATTCCCTCTGCATTAAAGGAACCTTCTTCTATGCTGCACTCATCCTCTGTCTCCTCATCATCTGTAGACTGTAGCAGCATATCGCCTCCCCCAGTAACGCCCTCCTTGGTAACACCCCAAGTGCTTCCCCTGGTGGCTCCCCCAGTGGCCCCTTCATTCGGAACTGATCCAGGTTCATCTATAGAAGGATCCGTTACAAGAGCATCTGTTACTGGAGCATCTGATACAAGAGCATCCAATATAAGAGCATCCGTGACAGGAGCATCCGTTACAAGAACATCCGTCATAGGAGCATCTGTTATAAGGGCATCCGGTACAGGAGCGCCTGCCAAGAGCACAGCTTCAGCAGCAACAGCAAAAGGCGTCTCAACAGCTTCAGCAGTCACAGCCTCTGCTTCCGCCATTGTCACTTGGTGTGACTCCTCCTCCTCAGCATTCCCCCCCATTATTGTCACCCGGTCTAATCGCCCCTCAGCTGCTTCAGCAGTCACAGCCTCTGCTTCCGCCATTGTCACTCGGTGTGACTCCTCCTCAGCATCTCCCCCCGTTATTGTCACCCGGTCTAACTCCGCCTCAGCTGGCTCACCAGTCACAGCCTCTGCTTCCGTTATTGTCACTTGGTGTAACTCCTCCTCAGCAGCAGCCCCCGCTATTGTCACTTCCCCTAACTCCGCCTCCTCGGCTGTAGCCGCCCTTCCAGCCTCCTCCTCCACATTTGTAGCCGCCTTCCCAGCCTCCTCGTCCACGGCTGTAGCCGCCTTCCCAGCCTCCTTCTCTACGGCTGTAGCCGCCTTCCCAGCCTCTTCCTCCACATTTGTAGTCGCCTTCCCAGCCTCTTCCTCCACATCTGTAGTCGCCTTCCCAGCCTCCTCCTCCACATCTGTAGTCGCCTTCCCAGCCTCTTCCTCCACATTTGTAGTCGCCTTCCCAGCCTCCTCCTCCACATTTGTAGTCGCCTTCCCAGCCTCCTCGTCCACGGCTGTAGCCAGCTTCCCAGCCTCCTTCTCTACGGCTGTAGCCGCCTTCCCAGCCTCTTCCTCCACATTTGTAGCCGCCTTCCCAGCCTCCTCGTCCAAAACTGTAGCCGCCTTCCCCACGTCTACGTCTGTAGCCGCCTTTTCTGCCTCCTCGTCCACAAGTGTAGCCGCCTTCCCCACGTCTACGGCTGTAACGGCCTTTTCTGCCTCCTCGTCCGCAAGTGTAGCCGCCTTCCCCATGTCTACGGATGTAGCGGCCTTTTCCGCCTCCTCGTGCACAAGTGCAGCTGCCGTCCTCGCCTCCTTGTCTACGGCTGTAGCCGCCTTCTCAACGTCTTGCGACTTCTCTATATCTACTTCTGAGACGCCTTTTAACGCGTCCACGGTTAATCCGTCGCACTCAGCGTCGCCCCCGGGTCGTTCTGCGGCCATCTCGTCGCCTCCTGTTACCACGTCACAAGACTGCGGCTGGTCTGCTTCCGTCTCCTGCCCTGCAGCGTCCGCTGTAGGTCCCGACGTTCCGTCGACTGTTTTTTCAGCTGTTTCGTCGGCTGCAGCGTTTGCTGTAGCAGGTCCCCGTTTCTCGTCGGCTGTAGCGTCGGCTGTAGCGTTTGCTGTAGCAGGTCCCGCTTTCTCGCACGCTGTAGCGTCGGCTGTAGCGTTTGCTCTAGCAGGTCCCGCTTTCTCGCACGCTGTAGCGTCGGCTGTAGCGTTTGCTCTAGCAGGTCCCGCTTTCTCGCACGCTGTAGCGTCGGCTGTAGCGTTTGCTCTAGCAGGTCCCGCTTTCTCGCACGCTGTAGCGTCGGCTGTAGCGCTCTCATGGGATGCATGCTGCTGCATCTCATGACCGCTTGGATGCCGATCCAAAGACGCGTCGTGACGTACGCCTTCCGCGTCTTGTTCCTTTCTAGCCTCCGCAGCGTCATTAGTAGCGCTTCCCTGAACCGCAATTGCTGGGTTTTGAGATGTCTCAGAATTAGTGGCACCCTCTTGACCAACAATTCCTGGATCCGCGTCAGATACTGCGTTAGACACAACAATTGCTTGATCGCCGTTGTCTGCCATTTAGGAAACTATAAGAAAGGAAACGGAACCTACGCGAGACACAAGAATGGAATTAGTCTCGAGATCAGGTGATTCTAGGCCGCGCCGCGAACCAGAACCATTAGTGTTTCACTCAACTTCGGATGCTCGAGCATGCCAACGTTGAGATGTGTGGGAAGGTTGCAAAAATTCTAGTGATTGCTGTGTGAAGAAAGTAATTTATGCTGGAGGCGTCTGGACCTGTTGACCGTGAACGTGGTTGATTGGAGAATGGTCTGCCCAACTCGGTCGCGATACTCCCAGTAGGCTGAGAAGAAAAATGATTCCTCGATTCTGGTTCACGGAATGGCGAAATATATTCGCATGAGGAAACCAACAGTGAAATAGGAAGGGCAGCATCCTTGCACCAATGAGCGCGTCTCAAAATCTGCCCGTAAGCGCGATTTTTGTTGTATATATTTCGGGCAGGAGATAGCAAATGACACGACCGTTTGTGGTGGAGGCGGAGGGTGATTGATTTATCGGGCAGGAACTGAAGGAAATTCTCAGCCGTCCATTCAAATCGCAATCCAACAGCTCAGCGCAATTTCAGCATTACTCCCTCGGTATGATCAAACCGGTACCTTTCTGGGTACACGGACTAAGGGCGCGTCCCCTCCCTTGATCGATCGCGCGATCGCTGTGAAAAACCACTCGGGCACACCGATCGCAGGATTGGGGTGGGATTGGTTGGAGGTGACAACGGCGGATCGATCTCGATCCCTGGGTGACAGGATCGAGAATACAAGGGGCAAAAAACCCTCGATCCTTCTAAAGCCGAGATCGGTGTGGCCACGAGGGCACATCGATCGTCACAGCGGAGGTGACAGGATCGTTGGGCACAAGTTACTGGAGATTCGCAAGCCTTCTCGAAATTTGATTACCCTGTCAGCTGTGATTCTGTAGCTGTCCCTCGATCGATCGAGGGCAGGATCGATCGAGGGAGGGGATGCGCCCTAAGAACAGGTGCCGCGTCCTAAGAACCAAGATCGAAGTTGTCAATGACGAAAAACCAAGCTCAAGCTTCTGGAATTCTGAGGAGTTTAGGAAGAATCTAGGTTTCGGCTTTAGGGTTTCTCTCTCCCCAGTGTTCCTTGCTGGATACCTGACCTGAACCAGCAGCAGGTTATTGATAGCTCGCTTAGCCCAGAGCGAATGATTCTGTGCTTGTCGTTGTTATCTTAGCCCCACTCTGCTTCAATTCCCTCTAGTTTCGTTTCAAAGAGTCATTAGTTACTAGTCTGCCGCGCAGCAAAGTCTGGGCTAAGATAGAGCGTACATGGCGAAGCCAGGAAACCCGCGGTCGCACAGACCGCACGGGAAGGGAGGCAAATTCGGGCAGCAGAAAAAGGGTCAGAAAAACAACAAGCACCAGTACCAGAAACCCCCGTCCAAGCTCCAGCTAGAAATCGCGGAAATCCGGCAGCTCGAAGCGCGGATCGCCGCCGGCGCGCCCGCGCCGGGCTCGAATCCCCTAGCTGCGGATCTCTCCGCTCCCGCCGCTTCCGCCTCTCCCGCTGCGCCAGCGAATAGCAAAGAGAGGAAAAGGAATGCGTCAAAGGAGGGGGTGCTCGCAGCAGCAGGAGGCGGATCGACGGGCGGGAAAGGGGAATTTGAGCCGTACGTCGGCGCGAAACTGTTCGAGGAGCTGCCTATATCGAAGCGAACGATGAAAGGACTCAAGGTAAAGTTTGGGTTTATATAATCAGGGTTTAGATTGAGGGTTTATTGTGAAGGGCTCGTCTTATCTATGATGGTTAACTTTTAACATTTGCAGGGCTTGCGGTTATTGATGATATAAAGGGTTAATACTTGGAGGGTTATGGGGCACGGACGGGACAGGTTAAAACTGTCGGATTCGACTCTAGTGGTGATCCGTAAACAACAATCTAACATTTTAGAATGAAGATTCGTGAACACAAAACGGATTGAACCTCTATACAGAGAGGACAGCGTTGGGTCTAAGATTGTGTCCGTCTGTTCTTCCATGAATCCCCTCTTATTCTGCCACGTGGCGCAACAGGATTCGGAGTACGTGCACATGACGGCCATTCAGCGAGCTGCAATCCCCCATGCGCTGTGCGGGAGAGACGTGCTGGGAGCAGCCAAGACAGGATCGGGCAAAACCCTCGCGTTCATTATTCCTGTGAGCTTTTTGTTCCTTTGTGTGTTCAATATACACTCAGTAGACGGGTTTTAAAGGCAATATCCCCTTGAAACATGTGCAAGACGCGTTCAACGTCTCATGCCGCTTCTCACACCACTTCTTTCCTGCAAACCTGTATCAACTTAGACCCTGTACCCTGTCCTCCTCCTCTGATGGGTTACCATCATCATGCTTCTTCGCCAATGATGTGTTTCGTCAATGTTCCCCCCTCGTTTCAGATGCTGGAGAGGCTGAATTGGCAGCGCTGGTCGCACATGGATGGCGTGGGAGTGGGCGAACGAAACGATGCAATGTGGTCCCTTAGTGCCCTTTTGAGTCGACTCAAAAGTCACCTCGCACATGGATGGCGTGGGAGTGGGCGAACGAAACGATGCAATGTGGTCCCTGAGTGCCCTTGTCAGGCAAACCTACTCCCCGCCCTCTCCCTTCTCTCCGCTCCAATCTTTTGTTTCAGCTGCTGGAGAAGCTGCATCGGCAGCGCTGGTCGCACATGGATGGCGTGGGCAAGCGATGCAGTGTGGTGTCTTACTACACTGACCAAGAACACTCCCCTTCTCCCCACCCTTTTGTCTCTCGTTTCAGTTGCTGGAGAGGCTGCATCGGCAGCGCTGGTCGCACATGGACGGAGTGGGCGGCATAATCATATCGCCCACGCGGGAGCTTGCCACCCAGATCTTTGGCGAGCTCAAGAAGGCCGGGCGGCACCACCCGTTCTCGGGCGGCCTGCTCATCGGCGGGCGGGCAGGGAGCGTGGAGAAGGAGAGGGAGCGTGTGCAGGTGGGAGGGTGAATCCTTGCATGTGTTTCACATTTGTTTTGAGTCGTCTCAAAGCTGATTGGCGGGCGGGCAGGGAGCGTGCAGAAGGAGAGGGAGCGCGTGCAGGTGGGTTTGTGATCATCTGTTTTTTTTTTGCCCACCTTCGTTTTTTCGCATTGCACATTACATTACTTTGTGCATATTCCGGTCATCTGCTACTCTCTGCTTGAGTGCTTAAGCGGATGTCGATGAGTCAAGATGTTACTCTCTCCTCCACCCTCTTTCCCTGCCAGTCTTCCTTCCTCCAACGCCCCTTCATCCCCTTGTGACTTTTGTGTCGACTCAAAAGTCGCGTTATTTCCAATCCTTCTTCCCCCTCTTGTCCTCTCCACCACCAGTCCCTCAACATCCTCGTCTGCACGCCCGGTCGTCTGCTGCAGCATATGGACGAGACACCCAATTTCGACGCATCCAACCTCCAGGTATGCTGCTATTCACAAACATATGTGTGCACATCTCCTGTGTTCACCTGAAGGTGCACGCCCGGTCGCCTGCTGCAGCATATGGACGAGACACCCAACTTTGACGCATCCAATCTTCAGGTACGCGATTCGGTGTGTTTCTACTTAATTCCAGCCACTCGTACAACAAACCTAATCAACAAGATGGAGACGGTAAAGTGAAACCTGTTGTCGGTGAGCAGTAATTTTACTCGTTTTTTCTTCTTCCAAAGACTTTGTTCTTCCACCTCGGCGTCATCTTCTTTTCTGCCTTCAACGCCTCTCCCCTCCTGGTGCTGGTTTTGGACGAGACCACATTCTAAACATGGGTTTGAAACACTCATTCACGAACTCTCTTATCCCTCCCACTGCACTGCCCTCCCCCCTTCTCCCTCCACACCTTGTCCCCACTCCTTCCAGATGCTAGTGTTGGATGAGGCCGATCGGATTCTAGACCTGGGATTCGCCGCGGCTCTCAACGCCATTATCGCCAACCTGCCTCCACCCCCGCACCGCCAAACCCTCCTCTTCTCCGCCACGCAAACCAAGTCCGTGCGGGACCTCGCCCGCCTCTCCCTCTCCTCGCCCGAGTACCTCTCTGTGCACGCCGAAGCAAAGGAGGCGACTCCCCTAAGGCTCCAACAGACGGTGATGGTCGTGGAAGCTTCCCAGAAGCTGGACGTGCTGTGGAGTTTTCTGAGGAACCACCTGCAGAAGAAGACAGTTGTGTTTCTCAGCAGCTGCAAGCAGGTGGGTGCGGATGGGTGAGAGCAGCCGCATTCAGGTGAGAGCAGCCGCATTCAGGTGAGAGCAGCCGCATTCAGGTGAGAGCAGCCGCATTCAGGTGAGAGCAGCCGCAAGCACGTGGGTGTGAATTGTGTGCAAGCATGTGGTTTATGCCACGTGCTATGGAGATTCTTGAGGAACCACTTACAGAAGAAGACGGTCGTTTTCCTCAGCAGCTGCAAGCAGGTGGGTTTCAAGTCGACTTAAAAACTAAGCAGGTGAGAACAGGTGCAAGCAGCCAGGTGAGGGTGTGAATGGCATGCAGCCTCTCTCTCCCTCTCTCTCCCTCTCTCTCCCTCTCTCTCCCTTTCTCTCCCTCTCCTCGCCTGAGTACCTCTCTGTACACGCCGAGGCGAGGGAGGTGAGCCTGCTCGCCTCACCCTCTCCCTCTCTAGCCTCTCCCTCTCCATCTTGCCGGTAGCCTGCTCGCCTCACTCTCTCCCTCTCTAGCCTCTCCCTCTCCATCTTGCCGGGTAGCCTGCTCGCCTCTCCCTCTCTAGCCTCTCCTCGCCTGAGTACCTCTCTGCGCATGCTGGGCCGAGGGAGGCGACTCTGTTGCGACTTCAGCAGACCGTGATGGTCGTGGAAGCTTCCCAGAAGCTGGACGTGCTGTGGAGCTTCCTGAGGAACCTGCAGAAGAAGACGGTCGTTTTTCCCAGCAGCTGCAAGCAGGTGGGGAGAAATGAGGATTTGGAGATGGAAGTGAGCAGGTGATCGGGATAGGGATTGAGCCACTCTTCCCCACCCCCATCCCCCTTCCCACTTCTCCCCTCCCCATTCCCCTCCCCCCTCCCCTTCCCTCTTCCCCTTTCCGCCTTTCCCCCTCCCTCTTCCCTTCCGCATTTCCCCCTTCCTCTTCCCCACTTCTCTATTTCAGGTGAAATTCGTGTTTGAAGCCTTCAGAAGGCTGAGGCCCGGCATTGCCCTGAAGCTGCTGCACGGGCGCATGAAGCAGATGACCCGCCTCGCCTCCTTCTACGACTTTTGCGAAGCCGACCACGCAGTGCTGTTTGCCACGGATATCGCTGCGAGAGGACTGGACTTCCCTGCTGTGGATTGGGTCGTGCAGGTGAGAGTGCCTTGAGTTGACTTTAGTTGACTTCTGTGACTCGGATCATGCAGTTTTGTTTGCCACAGATATTGCTGCGAGAGGGCTTGACTTCCCTGCTGTTGACTGGGTCGTGCAGGTGAGTGCGTGGTTTGTTGACCTGGGTTGACTTGGTTGACTTAGTGTCCTTTGACTCTGTTCACTCTTGTACATTTCGTTGACTCCCGTTGACTTGGTTGACTTACTCTCCTTGGACTCTTGTGCATTTTGACTCCCGTTGACTTTGTTGACATACCGCGTTCTTTTGCATCCCAATCTCACCCCCCCCCCCTCCCCACCTTCCAGGCGGACTGCCCTGATGACGTGGCAACATACATTCACCGTGTTGGCCGTACGGCCAGGTTCAATGCATCTGGACGCTCGCTGCTGCTGCTCACCCCTTCTGAGAAAGCCATGCTGCCGCTGCTAGAGGCCGCCAAGATCCCGTTTTCGCTAACCAAGGTGCGTGCTGCCTCTGCTACAGGTGCGGTTTCTTCTGCTCGCTCACCGCCTCTCTAACATCGAAGTGCCTTGGCTGCTTGCTCACTCTAACATCTGAGAAAGCCATGCTGCCGCTTTTGGAGGCAGACAAAATTCAACCTCTAGCAGCATGAACCTTGAATGAGCCGAAATTCCCTTTCCTCTAACCAGAGTAAGTTTTAGCCGATTTAATGCTCACTCAACCCCCTTTTTGGCTCAGTACGATTCTGCACACTCCATCAAATGGGTCTCTCGACTCAACCTCGCGAAACGCACGGCCAGGTTCAATGCATCTGGACGTTCCTTAAGATTGTTCCTTGCGCCCCGCCTCCTAATGGATGCCTCTCCCCTCCCTTTCCTTAAGATTGTTCCTTGCCCCCCCGCCCCTTCAATCCCAACAGGCCTAGATCCAGCCAAGATGCAGCCCATAGCCCACTCGCTGGCAGCGCTGCTCTCAAAGGACTCTGAGATTACAAGCCTTGTCCTTACCATCCCACCCCACCGCACCGCACTCCACCGCACCCCACCGCACCCCACCCCACCGCACCAAACCCAACAGGCGAACCCAGCCAAGATGCAGCCCATAGCTCAAGCGCTGGCAGCTTTGCTCTCAAAGGACTCTGAGATCAAGTACCTGGCACAGCGCTCCCTCGTCACCTACCTGCGCTCCGTGCACCTGCAGGTATGCATGTGATGCATGTATGGAGTATACATCCATGCACATGGGCATATATGTATCTATGTGTATGTATGTGTGTATGGTATGGAGTATGCATGTGTGTACCGCTGCTTTCAAAGGACTCTGAGATCAAGTACCTGGCACAGCGCTCCCTCGTCACATACCTGCGATCCGTGCACCTGCAGGTATGACCCTATAATGTATGTCTACATAAACATATGGATATATTTCTTTTAAATGTGTTCACACACATATACAAATACCTCATTCAGCACGCCTTTGTTACCTACCTATAATCCGTGCACCTGCAGGTATGACATCTGGAGTATGTACATGAATGTATGAGTGCGTATGTATACACTAAAAATATATTATACATATATATACATGTTACATACATATAAACACGACATTATTGTATGTGTGAAACCTAATCTCCTCCTTGCCCTTCCCTTCACCCACCCACCCCCACTCCCTCCTTCCTCCCAATGCTCTTCCCTCGGGTAGAGCAACAAAGAAGTTTTTGACGTGACCAAGCTGCCCGTGGAAGAAATCGCGGCCTCCATGGGGCTGCCCAACCCGCCAAAACTTCGCTTCCTGAAAAAAACGAAGGGGGCGGGAGAGAAATCAGGGGATGCACACGGGAAAGCGGAAGGGGCAAAGGGGAAGGGGGAGGGCGGGAAGGGGAGCGTAGGGGAGTGGAAGGGGCAGAAGATTCGATTTGGGGATGATGAGAGTGATGCGAGCGAGGAGGGGAGTGATGGTGAGGGTGATGGTGAGAGTGATGATGAGATTGAGGGAGGAATTGAGAGAGGGAGTGAGGGAGAGGAGGATACAGATGAAGAGAGGGAGAGGGAGGAAGGGGAGGAAGGGGAGGAAGGGGAAGAGGAAGAGAGAAGGGAGGGAAGGAAAGAAGTAAAGAAGAAGAAAACAAAGCTGGAGCGGCTATTTGGGAGAACCAACAAAGGGGTACTGTCGGCCTCTTATGATAGGCTGAGAGCAACTGAGGATGAGGAGAAAGAACCAGGAGAAGGAGGGGAGGAGGGGGAAGGAGAGGAGGATGAGTTACTGCGGGTGAAGAGAGTGAATCATCTGCTAGATGGGGAGGAGAGGGAGGAGGGGGAGGGAGGGGAGGAGGGACTGAGTGGGGCGGCCACCGCAGCAGAGAAGAAGCGGGTGCTTAAGTAAGTGTGCAGTTCTGGAATTGCAGCATATGTTGCTGCCATTCGTTTGTAGCTAGTGTGGGTGGAGTCATCATGAGTTTTGAGCTTCATCGGCTCTGAGTCGCTTCCCTTTTTGCAAGTTTCAATTTCGAGGGGTGTTCAAAACACCCATTTTATAAACACACCACGTTATTGCTCCACTCCTCTCGACCCTTCCCCACCCCTTCTTCCTCCCTCCCTCGTACCTTTTTTTTTTGCTGCTCTCAGCTCGTTGACTCTTTCCAGGAAGCAGCGCAAGAAGCTTCTCTCAGGCCCGGGCCGACATGGCGGCACGCGGTTGGTCTTCGATGAGGAGGGCAACCCGCTGCCGCCCCTTGCCGCCCTTGCCTTGGAAAAGGACAAAAACGGAGGGGTGGCGGCAGAGGGGGAGGATGCTGAGCTGGCAGCTGCCGCCCGGGCAGCTGAGGAAAGATTCCGGCAGCTGCGGGAGGAGATGCAGCAGAAGGATTTGGAGGACCGGGCAGCTGAAAAAGAGCGTCTGCGAATGAAAAAGCTCAAGGAGAAGTTGAAGGTGAAGAAGCGGGCAGGAGAGGGGAGGGAGGAGGGGGAGGAGGGAGGGCGGGTGGTAATGCTAGGCAAGGGAGTTGATGATGATGAGAGTGATGAGGAAGAGGAGGAAGAGGAGGAGGAGGGGGATGAGGAGGAGGAGGATGTGAGGAGGGGGAGAGGCAAGAGGAAGGGTGGGAGGAGTGGAAATGATTATAGCGAGAGTGAGAGGGAGGACGAAAGGGGGTCTGAAAAGGGCGGTGTACAATGGAATGAAAGTGATAGTATGGAGGGTAGCAGTAGTATGGATGAAGGGGCAAGGGAGGGGGGCTATGGGTTATACTCTAGTGGAGACGAGGGGGAGGACGTGGAGGAGAGAGAAAGAGGGGGGCAGAGAGGGGGGCAGAGAGGGGGAGGGACAGGGGGAGGGGAGGAGGAGGAGGTGCCTGAAGCAGTACCTTTGGAATGGGGCGCACAGGACCTTGCACGGGCGAGGAAACAGCAGAAGGGGCGGCATGAGTTGGTGCAAGGGAGGGGAGCAGCAGGAGCAGTAACGGGGGGGAGGAGAGCAGGAAAGAGAGTGATATACGAGGGGCAAACATCGGAGGAGCAAGCAATCTCGAGCAGGTCTGGCAAGAAGGCTAGGGTGGGCGGGTTGGAGGGTCAGGGGAAGGCGGCAGGGAAGGTTGCTGGTGGTGAGGGCGCGGGGTTGGGACTGGCAGAGCAGGAAACTTTGGTCCTCCGGCTGCTGGCTGCCAAGCGCCAATGAGCTTTGAAGTGCCTTACAAGCTGGGCTGGTCTTAAGATGCCTCTGAATCTGGACTGGCAGAGCAGGAAGCTTTGGCCCTTCGGCTGCTGGCTGCCAAGCGCCAATGAGCGCCGTGCTGGTATGGGGACTTGCGGGGATGCCTGCAGTGGCAGCCAGTCACAGGAGTATGATGGTACGGGGTGTTGGGCTGAGTGCCCCTTAGGATCTTTGGTAGGGTTAAACTCTGAGTAAAGTGATGTAGTAGCGGAAGCGTTTAAATGAAGTCCTTGAACCACCTTGCGCTGGTACCGTCACCCCCCGGATATAAGCGCCACCCTAGGATAAGCGCCTGGCGCTTCTAATTGGCATATGGCGCTTATATCCCCTCCTCGATTATAAGCGCATACCCTAGAGTCGTACGGATTATAACCGCATACCTGTACCTTACACATTATAACCGCCACTTTTTTAAATATTTTTTTTCTACAAACTTCACTAACCACATAAACAACTTATATTTTCATCTAATTAAATACAAAGTCAGTTTATCTACAGTTTTTTCTAATTACAGTTCTAAATCTACCTACGAGTCTCACAGGCTACAGCAATTTCTAGATCTACGTAATCTAGTCATCAGCTGCGGTAGGATCATCCGGGTCGGCCTCAGAGTCCGACTCTGGTTCTTCTACGTTGTTGCAGAAAAAGCCATCTGCTGCAATGTCGTCGTCGATGTCTATTTCGTCGCCCTCAAGCTCGTCGCGCCTGTGTTGCAGGCAGATCTTGTCCTGGGACCCATCCAGGGCGTTACTAATGCCACAGGTGAGGAAAGCCCGTTGAATCAAGTCCCTGGGCACGGCCTTCCAAGCCGCTGATATCCACTTGAGCGTTAGCTCGGGTGGTGGCTTCTTGATGTTGCCTGCCATAAAATTTAAACAATCAAAAGTCAGCCACCGCTACAAACTGATAAAGCAGCACAGGCATGGCCTGCCTCTCTCACCTTTCTTTGTCAAGGTGTCGACCCCCTCGCTCTCGAACCACTCCTGGTAGAGCTGTCGAACGGATGCCTTGAAGGAGCGATTCACCGCGACGTCCAGAGGTTGAATCTCCGAGGTGCAGCCAGCTGGGATAACGGCAGGGACGATGTTCAGCTCCCCGAACTTCTTCTTCACCTCCGCAGTCAGGTGCCCGCGGTACGAATCCAAGACGAGCATCGCTTTGCGGGGCCTCACTCCAAACTTGGTGTGGACGAATGGCTTCACTGCCCCGTCGAGCCACTCAATGACTCCGTCCGCGTCCATCCAACCGTTGGGATGGACGGACACCGTAACATCTGCACAGCCACAAACGCACATACAACATCAGTAGACATTGAAAAAAAAAAACATGCAGCAGTGGGTGTTAATGCTCACCTGAAGGGAAATCCCCTTTAGGCAGGGTCTTCCGTTTGAAGAAGACCCACGGCTTCAGCTTCTCACCGCTGGCAGTGCAGGCGAGCATCACCGTAACTCGCTCCTTCTGATAGCCGCCGCTGCGGATAGGCACAGAGCGCAGACCCACCTCCTCGACTGTGCGTTCGGCAGGCATCTCGAGCCACATTGGTGTCTGGTCCGCGTTTATTATCCACTGCGGGTCAATCTTGTATTGGCGGCGGGTGTGACGCACGAACTGAGAAGAATTGAACGAGAATGAGATGAGTATGAACGAAGTGAGTACAAATAGGAAACCCTAATTGTGTTGTACCCCCTATGGGATACCCCACTATAGCCTACACAAACAAGTAAGCTATATGTTCTGACACACCCCCATAGGCAAAGTGGGGGAGAACAAGGGGTCACAAGACCAGTCAAGCAAAGCAAAACAAAGCTCAGGGTGGATCACAAAGTCACCACGCATTCCGAGCACAAGTTCAAAGGCCACAAGGCCAGTTCACATGCAAGATCATATATAGAGGTATACAAGAGTCAAGCAAGCAAGAGCAAGAGTATATATATGCGAAGGTACAAGCAAGGTCAAGAGGAGAGCAAGTGAGGCAAGACAGGCACAAGACCCAACTGCGTGCAGCAACGCTGATGATCACAAGGCGCAAGTGCCTTGGTGAAGACATCAGCAGTGTTGGCCTCAGAGGCCACGTACGCAAGTCGCAGTTGTCCACGCTGCTGTAGCTCACGAGCAAGAAAGTAGCGAAGAGCAATGTGCTTCGTTCTGTGCTCCAGTCGCTGCTCTCGACACAAGGCCAGCATGGCCTTGTTGTCTACGTACAGGACTGGAGGAGAACGAGGCTGCTCTCCAAGGTCGGTCAGCAGGTAGGTGAGCCAGCGTAACTCCTGTGCAGCCATAGCCCCAGCGTAGATCTCAGCCTCACAACTGGAGCCGAGAACAGAAGACGAGCGGGTAGCCCGCCACGAGACAGAGCCGGAACCAAGGCTGAAGGTGTAACCCTGTGACGACCGCTGCGTAGCCTGGTCGTCAGCCCAAGAAGCGTCTGCGTGCCCAGTGAGGACCACTGGACTGCGCCCTCCAAGCACTAGCCCCATGCCCGACGTACTGCACAAGTAGCGCAACACCCTCTTCGCTGCAGCCATGTGCTCTGGTCGGTGTCTCCCAGGAGCAACAAAGCGTGCGAGAATGCTAAGAGGGTATGCGAGGTCAGGTCGTGTGCAGGTCATCAGGTACATGAGGCAGCCAACAAGCTCTGCAAACGGGCCACTCGACTCTACGGACTCATCCGAAGGCAGAGCTGAGAGCGAGTGGCGAGTAGGCAGAGGAGTGGCCTGAGGCGAGGAGTACGTGAAGCCGAAGCGCTGAAGAACCTGCTGCACCATGTGTGACTGAGTCAGGGTAATGGTGCGGCGTGCTCTGTCCCGGGTGATCTGCAAGCCAAGGTAGCTGCGCAGTTCACCCAGGTCAGTGCACGTGTGTCTCTTCTGCAGCTCGGACTTCACGTAGGCGAGTCCAGCAGTGTCAGCTGTGGCAAAGACCAAGTCGTCGACGTACACGAGGATGTAGAACGGCGGCAGAGAGGTGTCGGTGCGCAGAAACAGCGACGGGTCGGAAGTGGAAGGAGCAAACCCAAGTGCCGCGAGCGTAGTCCTCAGTGTGTCGTGCCACTCACGTGGCGCCTGGCGGAGACCGTAGACTGGACGCCGGAGGCTCCACTGGGTACCAGGAGGGAAAGACCCAGTGAAGCCAGGTGGGCGACGCAGCCAGATCTCCTCGTGCAGGCTGCCCTGCAAGAAAGCTGTGCTGAAGTCGAGAGAGTGCAGCTCGTAGTCACGGTGAGCAGCAACGTGCAGCAGAACCCGAAGAGTGGTCATCTTCGGGGTGGGGGAGAAGGTCTGAAAGTAGTCAACCCCCTGCCGCTGACTGAAGCCACGAGCCACGTAACGCGCCTTGAAGACAGGCGGAGAACCCGGCGGCCGCTTCACCCTGAAAATCCACATGCCACTGACGATGTTCGCCCCAGGAGGGGGAACAGCGTCAACGTAGGTGCCTGTGGACTTCCAGGAAGCCATCTCTGCATCCATAGCTGCCTGCCACTGAGAGGAGTAGGGACCCTCTATCGCCTCCGCGTAAGAGCGCGGAGTCGGGATGTCTGGTGCATCCGGGTCTCCCTTAGGGGCTAGCAGTACAGACGCGAGACGAGGTGAAGCGGCGGCCAGACACTGGAACTCCTCCTGCCTGTCCTCAAGGACGTCCGTGCCCAGGGCACACTCACCCCCGACGGACGGAGGACAGGCGGACTCAGACTCAGTGACAAGACGAGCAGCGTAGTCTAGACGACAGCGCGCAGCAAAGTCGACGAGCTCAGTGACAAGGGCGGACGCAGCAGACGACTCGAAGGAGGGGTCAGTGACAGCAGTAGCCAGGAGACGTGTGACAGTAGGACTGGCAGCACGAAGAGAGTCCGACTCCGGGTCGGCAAGAGCAGGAAGAGAGGAAGCAGGAGGAGAAGGCAAAGGGGCACGCAGAGGAGCAGTGGACGGACGCAGTGACATCCGGTGCGTGCCAGGGACAGGAGGAGGACGCTGACGCGACCCGCGACCACTAGCGCGCTCAGTACGAACAGGCGACACAGGACGAGACGCAGGCTCACGACGCTCAGTAAGACCTCCAGTCGGACCAGTGTAGGGAGAAGGAGCAGGCAAAGGGGAGGCAGGCTGTAGCTGTGGCTGTGACCGGACAGGCTGCGGACCCTCTAAGGGAGGAGGAGGAGGTGTAAGACCAAGAACCTGCTGCAGGAGCGGAACGAAGTACGGTCGGGGCCGCGCGGCGACGCTAGAAACAGCAGGAACAGCACCAGCAGCCCCGGCAGGAGCACCCACTCCAGCAGCACCTCCAGCAGCACCACCAGAAGCTCCAGAACCCCCAGCCGCAGCACCAGGAGCACTGTCAGTCGGACCGCCAACGGCAGGCTCAGCGCCAACACCCTCAGCAGGACCAGCTCCAGGAGAACCCTCAGACCCAGCAGCTCCAGCACCCACAGTACGAGTACCGGCGGGACGCGCGGCAGCAGGACCCTCTGCTGCCGAAGAACCACCCGCACCAGCAGCACGCCTCCAGCGCCTGGCAAACCACTCACGCAGCTCCTGTGGGGAGAGTGGCTCCCGGCGAGACGAAGCACCCCCAGGCACAGCACCTCCAGGCTCAGAACCCCTAGACACAGCACCCCCAGGCGCAGCACCCCCAGGCTCAGCACCCCCAGGCACAGCACTCCCAGACTCGGCACCTCCAGGCTCAGCACCCCCAGGCACAGCACCCCCAGGCTCAGCACCCCCAGGCTCAGCACCCCCAGACTCGGCACCTCCAGGCTCAGCACCCCCAGACTCCGCACCCCCAGGCTCAGCTCCCGCAGCAGCACCAGAGTCACCAGTGACCTCGACAGGCTCGACCGCGTCTACCTGGGACACACCTGAAGGGGCAGGACCCTGAGGGGGGAGGGGGACTACCGGGGGGGGACCTGGTACCAAGAAGAGCGGGGGTGGGGGGAGGGACGGAGTGCGGTAGGGGAAGAGACGGTAGTA